GGCCATCCGCCGCGCCTGGCCTCGGCCGCGGGCCTCGGCCGCGGGCCTCGGCCGCGGGCCTCGGCCGCGGGCCCGCGGGCGGGCCCTCCCCGCCGCCCGGGGCGGGGCGCGGCTCCGGCGGGCCGTCGCCAGCAGGCAGGCGGGCCCCGAGGGAGACGACCGGCTCCGAGGTGTTTCGCCGACCTCGGCGCTCCCGCGAGCGGGGCGGCCTCGGGGCTTCGAAGAAGCGGCTCGGCACGAGCTGGGCCTCCCAGAGGGGGTCGGAGCAGGTGGGGTCGGAGGATCGCGCCGCGTCGCCGGTGCATCGGCGATGTGGTTCGATGCGGAGCCCCATTGGCTTCGCGCTGGCGTCGCCGATGCAGCGCCGGTGCATCGCCGATGCATCGCCGATGCATCGGCGATGCGGCGCGATCCTCCGACCCCGTCTGCTCCGACCCCATCTGCTCCGACCCCATCTGGGAGGCCTCGATACGAAGGGCTGGTCTCGGGGGAAGGCCCCAGGGTCCAGGGCCCGTTGCCCTCGGGACCCTTGTGCTTCGTGCCGAGGGCTTGCTGGCGGAGCGGTCTCCGAGGAGGCGTTGACTCTCCCGCCAGTCGCAAGCGGGGAGAGCCGGTGGATCAGTCGGGAGGGCGGTAGTCGACTGCGCGTAAGAGTGACCCTTCGCCGGAGTGATCTTGGGTGCGGGCCCACTGGGTTCCCCCGGTCGCTGTGCGCGGTGCGATGGTAGCGTCTTGCGCGCTTGTGTCTGGTCCCCCCCGCGGGCCTCCCAAAGCCGCGCACCAAGGGTCGCTCGTACCTAGAGCCACTCTTTGCGTGTAGCTGGGCCAGCTATACGCCCACACCCTGTACCATTCCTGGGCAGGTCGAGATGGGGCCCGGGGCTGGTGCGTGGGCCCTCCTGGGCCTGGGCCAAGCAACGAGGGCGCACACGCCGATCCCGGGCCCAGCGGGGCCCCTCCCGGGACCTCTCGCGGCCCAGTCGCCCTCCCCTCTCGCTCCCCGAGCGCGTTCCACTACTCGCAAAGCGTTCTTACCTGCAAAAGGGTGTAAAAGTAAACGTCTGCCTCGATGTAGTGGATCGCAAATCCCCGTGGGCGGATCCAGGCCATATGCGAGCAGTTTCTTTGCGAGTAGTGGGACGCGCTTATCTATTCGCTCCAAGCGGTGGGCAGAAGCCCCGCTTTCTGTCCGCATTTGGCGCTGTCGTTGCTCTCCGCCCTGCATCCTTTGGGCTTTCGCGGGATCTCCATGTCGCTCGCCTTCCGTTAGGACCGGCTTCCTGCTTTGGGTGTCAGCCCGGTTCGGTCGCCTTTGCGTCGGTGTCGCTGTCGGATAGCGCCGTCGCCTTCTTCGGACGCTGTCTCAATCTTCTCACTCCCCACCATCGTGTCCCAGTTAATTGACCCCCCCGAAGTTTCGTTCAGTGCGTCGCCCATGCGCCGGCCCTGTTTGCCTCTCTGTCTTTGATCCCGTCCTTCAAGAGTGCGTGAGCGACACATGGCGCGACTTTTGAGTTTCGTTGGCGACAGTTTGGTTTCAGACGCTGGTTCAACAACGCCCATTTTCGCATGCGAGACGAAATGTAGTTCGATTGTTAGTCGACGCGATATGTTACCCACCCGCACACAAAATCATTTGCTGGTGCGTCGTTTCGGGATGCGCTAGCCGTGTCTCAGGAAGGGGGCGTGTTGCGTTGATTTGGGTTCTCTCGCCCACTCATCAGGCTGGCCTTTCCCTTCCCCCCGCCGCCCCCTCACCTCTCCTCCTCCTCACTTGCCATCTTCGCTCCAGTCTCTCCTCATCCGCATCCCTCCTCTTAGCGCAGGTCCCTTTAACACTCCCCTTTGCTCCCTTCCGTCGTGCGTCCTTGCATCCTCCCCCTCCCTCCCCTCGTGCATCAGTGGCCGCGGCGTTGCTCACTGGGCTTTGTGGCGACGATACGCTCGGGCGTTTCCGCGTTGCGTGTCACCGCGCGCGTTCGCGCGCACGCGCGCGTCGCTGCCATTGTGATTTTCGGGCGCGCTTGCCTACGTTTTGTCGCGCGCGCGCGTGCAATGATGTTCACATAGCGCCAAGGAGCCCAACGTGTGCGACGCGTGCGCGCCGACCACGCGACCCGCGCCACTCACGCGCGACGCACGCGCGACGCACGCCCCACCCGCGCGACGCAAGCGTGATGCATGCGCGACGCATGCGCGACGCACTCGCGACGCACTCGCGATGCACGCGCGCGACGCACGCGCGCGACGCACGCGCGACGCACTCGCGAGCCTGCGCTGCACAGCTGCACCGAATCTAGTAGATGCAACGGCCGACGGCGCGTGGCGCTTGCGCGGGCAATTCGATGCAATGGTCATGCTTTCATTTGCGCCAGGTGCGACTCTCCCGTGACCTCCTCCCCCGCTCTCCTTTTTTCCCACGAGTTGTGAAACTAGAAGCCTCGAACATGCAGGCTGCGTTCTCCTCATCCTCCTCCTCGTTCGCCTCTTGCCCCTCCTC